GTGTGAGGGGGTCAGAGATTAACCAAAGGACTTGTATGCATGCATATGAGCAAAACCAATGGACACAGACAGTAGGGGGGTGAGGGCTTGCGCTTGGAGGTGGGGGTAACAGGGGAGAGGTCAATGGGGGAAAAAGGAAACTCATGTAATACTTTAAATAATGAAGAATTTAAAAATGCAATAGAAAGTGAAGTTTATGGTTTCTTTAATATTTCAAGCCAATTCTTCTTTTAGTTATTTCCCCTTTACTAATGCTTCATATAATATTTGAGTTCTTATTTATAAATACCTAATGGATTTATTTCTGCATATTACTTCAATAATAACACCAATAACAGCTTCTATGTGTATATATACATATATATGTACATATATATACTTATATATTTGGCATTTAATAAGTGAGAAGCCTACTTTAAATAGTTTACATATATTAATTATTTACATGTAATTAATCCTCACACCTTCTGAGATAGATACGATTAATTATTAATATTTGAAAACAGGAGAAACTGAGGCACAGAGAGGTGAGTGACTTGTTTAAGATAACACAGCTGGCACATTATCAGAACCAGAATACAAGCCAAGTAGTTTGGCTTCAGATTTTGTACTTTTAACAGCTTCAAATCCTACCACCAGTATTTGAAATGCAATGATTTTTAAATTAAATTTTCCTATTGTTCTTTTTTAACATTTGTAAGATGAATTAAAAAATTAAGACAACAGGATATTTTACAGTGTGATTTTAAAACAGGAGAATTTTCACCAAGGAGCTGCTAAAAATCAATCATCAATAATCCAAACTCATAAATAAACAGCACCATTAACCAGATAGATATTGGTGACTGAAAAAAGTGAGAAGCTGCTAAAAATCAACCATCAATAATCCAAACTCATAAATAAACAGCATTAACCAGATAGATATTGGTGACTGAAAAAAGTGAGCACCATTCCAAAATCTGAATAATGTCCTTTCAACTTTATTAAAATAAACATGATAATATAAAAAAGACAGGCAGGCAGTATATTGAGACTGAGAAGTCATTTCCACTACACATATGTCTCTTTTAAAGTCTTTTGAAGTGAGACATTTTCTGTGAAGTTTCAGCCAAAAGGTGATTTCTTGGAATGTTCAAGTTAATTCATTTCAGCTGTCCTAAATTCTTACTAAGGTGAAAAAAAAATATGCCTTTCACACAGTGAAAATTTCATGATGTTTGTCCTTATAAACTCAAATCAAAGGGGAAAAAACTCCCATAAAGTTCTATTTAGCAGTGCAAATGAAGTGGCAATTCCAAAAAGTTTACCGTTTTGTAAGTTGAAAAAATAAAGTGACATAACAAGGATCATGCAGTTACATATTTATTTTATTTTTGAAAGAAGAGTGGAAAATAACTAATGAATTTTGTCAAAATTGAATTGTTAATCATGTCTAATCTTTCTGATGGCTACTCATATCCAAGACTCTTAGAAAACATTTGGTGGAAAAGCTGGTCAAGATCCACCCTCCCATCCTCCAGCTCACAGAACTTTGAGGGGAGATGGGATGCTACAATGATGCCTGGTACACTGTCACTGCTGCTGTCAAACCGGCTGCTATCATAACCACTTTTCTATTGCTCAGACTCTCCATTCGAAGAGTTAGAGATACAATAAGTGAGTGTGTCTTATAGGAGGCTAAAAAGCAGTTGAAATAAAGGTAAAAAGCCTGGACTTCCAATATGATATGTCTGCATTCAAATCATGGATCCAATATGCCCTATATGACTGCAAATGAATAGTATTTCCTCTTTGAAGTCTCAATTTCCTCTTCTGTAAAACAGAGATTGAAAAAAAATTCCTGCATCAGAGTTACTGAGAAAAGTAAACTGTAGAGTTTCGGGGAGTCTGTGATGTATGTATCACATACCAAACAATGGGAGATTTTTCTCTCCACATCAGGGAACACTGTCCAGTAAAAGAGAGAAGAGCTCCTGGCCCACGGCCACGTTTTTCCGGTGGCACCATGACAAGCATATTTGCAGGAAAAATCACTCCCTCAGAGTCCCAGTCTGCCACGGGTTTCAGAAAGTGGAATGCAAAACCTCCCAGGGGGAGCCCTGGTGCATGAGGCTAGGGTGGAGTGAAGAAAAACGGCTGCCCTGAGTACTATTCAGCCATAAGAAAAGATGAAATACCGCCATTTGTGATAACAGGAATGGACCTCGAGAGTCTCATGCTAAGGGAAACAAATCTATTGGAAAAGGAACCATATAATTTCCCTCGTATGTGGGTTGTAAAACTGAAACTCATAGACACAGACAATAGTATGGTGATTACCAGAAGACAGGAGGGTGGGGGTCAGTGAAGGGTTAGGGGGACAAAATAAATGGGGAGGGAAGATGATTTGACTTTGGGTAATGGACACATAATGCAATATGTAGATCAGGTATCATAGAAATATACACTTGAAACCTATATAATCTTATTAACCAATGTCACCCCCAATAAAGTTAATTTTAATCATAATTTTTTAATTAAAAAAAGAAAAAAGTCTACCCTAAAGCCTGTCCTTAAGATCAGCTAGCATAAAAAAATGTTGCCTAGCATGAGGAGAAAGGAAGAGAAGAATGGGACTAATAACTCCTAGGAAAAGAATAAGGCCATTTTAGTCCTCAATATGTGCATGGCCGTGATGAAGTATAGCAGCGGCAACAATTGCATATTACATAGACTTTGTAATTATTCTGAGTTCCATATTTTATCAATCATTTTTAGGGTACTTCTCTTGTCTGTAGCATGCACTGTCATTTAATTTTGACAGACATCTCATGTTCCTGCTAGAACAGGAGTTCCTTTAAGGCAGAAACACACTTTTCTTCTTGAGGACCAGATTAGTACTTGTTTGTGGAACTGAACAATGGAGGAAAAGGCCTCTCTGTCTTCTTCCTTCAAAGCTTCATGGATCAGGAATCTTCATCCTGAAGTTCCACACCCAGATATTGGCTGAGAGGTCCAAGCAAAGCCTGTCTCCAATGTGTGAAGTAGAGATCAGTATATAAACTGATTTGTCTTCTGGTGTTTTCCAGGGAATGTTAGTGCAACAATAAATCAGGGTCCTGAATTCTTATCTAAGCCTTATATTAAGGAGTTTGGTAGTCTTTCATATCTCTGCTGTGATATTTATTTAATCTATAAGAATTCACCTAAGACATTTTAAAATAAGGTAATAAGTGTTATTGCATCATCCCATTTCATATGTGTTCATTAATTGAGTGAATCCATTGTTTTTTTGATTATTGAGAAAATTTTCATTCTTAATTTCTATATTTTTTTCTCCCTCATAGAAACAAATATTTATTTGGGAAAATTTGAAAATAGTCTAGCTTGTGATGCATAAAGGTTGTTTCCATATTAAAATACAGAGAACGCTCTTTGAATGTGTTTCTCATAGCACTGGAGGGGAAGATATTTATGCATAATATCTTAGTTTTTATAAGATCTAAACACTGTAAAATTAAAAAGTTTAGAAAATAGTCAATGGAAATAATTACAATAAATTAGTGTTTATAAATAGGCAGCTTTCTTTTTTGGAGGGGCTGTGTCAATTTTTCTTCTGCTGAGTTCTATGAATTTTAGATCATTTCTCCATCTTGCTTGTATATCCCACCCCAAAATACATATTTTAATTGAAGAATATGGTATTTTACTCATTTGAAGTTCCAATTACTTTTGTTAACCCATGACCACCAAATCTATAGAATGTTGGGTACTAAAATTTCCTTTCTGTACTCACTACTCACCACTGGTATCAAGTGTGTACAGAGCTTTAACCAACCAAGGAATTTTTTTTCTATATTTAAAGTCATAGGTATGAATTCATTTCTTACTTGACTAAGAATACGGCCACATTTTCTTCCTATTTTTTCCACCAAATCAAAAATTGGAAAATTCCAAGTATTTAGTTGCTCCATAATTGAGTCCAAGTTATCCATGACAAGAGGTTCAGGAGCAAGAATTGGTTTGTCCTGGAATAAAGATGAAAATATTTTAACAATATACAGTTTTTCTATAAAGCAATTCATGCTTTAGTAAGTTCAATGCAACAACTGAGTTTATTAGAAGTAAATGACTTAATACTTCAGGGTGAATGGGTGATCTTTAAAAAAACATCAAGATGAAAAAGACATTGGCCCCTAAGTAAGGAGAAATGGTCCTTATGCTGTTTCAGACCATGTTTCGTATTATTAGGTGCCTGCTTGTGCTGGTTCATACATGCTACAGGGAAAAAAAAAAAGAAAAGAAAAGAAAAAAGAAAGATGCGTCTTCCATAAGTTTACATAACTACTGTGGGGTTCCTAAGGAAAGATTCAAGGGCTTCAGAACACTTGAAAATTGCATTAAATTTATCTCTTTATACGTTTATGTAAAATTTTTTGAGATGAACATTCCTAGCTCATATTGGACTCTCAAAAGAAACTCATGAGTGGGGAGGAGGCGTTAATGATCCCTACTAAAATTGGTCAAATTTGTATTCCTGCTTCAAAATTAGGGTTAATCCCGTGGAATGACAACAGCCACATTTTTTCAGGATTTTAATTTAATTCATGTGATGTACAGTTTCCAAAGAAACATGTACCTTATAAATGTATAGACATTTTATAATTGATCCCTAGTGAGGACATTATTAAAATACATCTATAAAAAACAAAGAAAGATAATGCGGATAAAAATGTAAATTATTTTGTTTGAAAATCTCTTTGATTTAAAAGTATTAAATGATAAATCAGGTTAAAGAAGAATGATAATAGCAGTAGTTGATAATCACGTGACAGCCCACTATTTTCTACCATTTGCTGCCTCCCCAAAATTAACCTGACTCAAATATGCTTTAATCTTCTTTAAATAGATCACTTTAAACACACAAAATAAGTCATTATTAAAGGATATTTTAATGGATA